GTTAGCCTGCTCTCTACCCAGGAATCTGTCTCTATTCTGTTTGTTAGTTCATTTTATTCATTAGAGTCCACACATAAGTGAAATCATATGGTATTTGTCTCTCTCTGACTGGCTTATTTCACTTAGCATAACGCTCTCCAGGTCCATCCATGCTGTCACAAAATGTAAGATTTCCTTCTTTTTTATGACCAAGTAGTATTGCATTGTGTAAATGTACCACAGGTTTTTTTATCCACTCATCTACTGATGGGCTGCTTCTAAATCTTGGCTATTGTAAATAACACAGCAATGAACATAGGGGTGCATATATTCTTTCAAATTAGTGTTTCAGCTTTCTTTGAGTAAATTCCCAGAAGCGTTTTTCATTTTTTGAGGTACCTCTGTGTTGCTTTCCACAGTGGCTCCACCAGTCTGCATTCCCATGTTTTAAGAGAGACAGGAAAGAACCTGAATGAGCTGAGCCATTGGTGTTAAGAATACAGAAAGTGCAGAGAAGGCAAGGAAGCAAAATAATTATACTTCCTCTTTACTAAATTATTATTTCCACTAAGGCTGGAATTGGAATTTTGCTTACTCTCACCCCAAGCCAAAAAAGGGGCTTCAACAGTGATTCCTGAGCACCCTGTTCTTCCTTCAGTTACAGTACCTAGCACACTATATTGTATTATAAATAAATTGTATCTAAGATGTGAAATCCTTGAGGCTAGGGATCGGGGATATATTTTCGTTATCTCTGTGTCCTCAATGCTTAATGTGGGCCTGGCACATAAAAGTTCACCACTCAATAAGTGATGTTTTAATAGATGAGTGAAAGAAGACAGAGAAAGGATATGCTGGCAGCAGTGATGGACTCATGACTGCTCCGCCCTGGGGAGTGGATCTCCCAGTGCTCCTTGCTGCTACAGCACTCCTTACTACTTTTCCCCTCTTAACTAGAAGACTCTTGTCTTTTCCGGGAGTAGATAAAAGGTTCTGTCCTCTGTGTCCTGTTCTCTTTTCTGTTCTCTTTGCCCGTTATATACACCTTTCTTAGAGCACTTATTGGTTGCTATTGAAATTATCCTTTGTACTGATCTCCTATTCTACTTCCTCAAAGACAGCAGGGATTCCTAATTCACAATGAATGCCTTCATTACCTGGAAAAGGAATTGTCCCAGAGATGGCTTCAGAAACATTACTTGAATAAACCTATTTATGAATCATAATTCCTAAATAAATACCCTGAAATTTCTATGTTCACTTATTTAACAAATAGTTACTAAGTTTACACCATATTTCAAGCAATGGTAGCTGTAGATATAGCCCTTCATATTTATGGTACAAATGGGTTTCCCTTGCTCCAAAAAGGCACCTCCAAGAATAAACTTTTTCTGGCCATCAACTGTTGCCTGAGAGTATAATATTAGTGACTCTAGCCTTTAGTTATATGTCCCTCTATTCTGTCTTACCTTTTAAAATTCAGTAGGGTTCCTGGGATAGGGACACCCTTATTCCACAGTTATCCCAAAAAGAACACTTGGGCAGGCACTTTGCTCAATAGCAAGGGCACTGGCAAAAAAAAAAAAAGTGGGAATGGGTAAGTTGAGAGCAGGATTTAGAGGCCAATGTTTACTTAAGATGTTTCTGCAGATCTCTCTTCAAGATCCTAATATCAATTCTATTTGGTATATGTCCATAAGTGGGATTGAATAATCATATGGTAGTTCTATTTTTAATTTTCTGAGGAGCCTCCATAGTATTTTCCATAGTGACCACACCAGTTTACATCACCACCAAGAGCACACAGGGATTCCAATTTCTCCACATCCTCATCAATACTTATTTTCTTTTTAATGACAGTCATCCCAGCAGTTGTGAAGTGATGTCTCATTGTGGTTTTGATTTTTCCCCATTGTATATTCTTGGGACCCTTGTGAAAAATCAGTTGACCACATATGTGTAAATTTATTTCTGGGTTCTCTATTCTTTTGCATTGTTTTATATCTCAATTTTTACGTAAGTATCATACTGCTTTAAATCACTGTAGTTTTATAATATATTTTTGTCTGAATGTTCTGGCTAAGATTTTTAGTACAATGTTGAAAAGAAATGGAAATCATGGGCATCCTTGTTGTGTTACTATGTCAGAGGAAAATCTTTCAGTTTTTCACTGTTGAGTAAGATGTTAGTTGTGGGCTCACTACATATGTCCTTTATTATGTTCAGGCACATCTCTTACATATCTCCACTCCCATGTTCACTGCAACATTATTCACAACAGCCAAGATATTGAAATAATATGGATGTCCATCAACAGATAAGTAGCTAAAGAAAATGTGCTATAGATATGTAGTGAAGTATTATTTGGCCTTTAAAAAGAAGGAAATACGACCATTTGCAATGAGGAAACTTTTGGAGTGAAGAAAATGCCTATTACCTTGTGATGATGATTATGAAATGTCATTATGATCATGAGTGTATGGATATTTCCAAATTAATCAAGCTGTACACATTAAATATGTGCAGTTTCGTATATCAAGTATACCTTCATAAAACTGTTTTCAATTGATTTCACTCTATTAGAAAAAAAATGAAGCTTCTGGGGATGAAACAGGACAACAAGAAAAATTTCCTAGGTTGAAAGACACTCTGTATCTCTAAGAACATAAAAACAGAGAAATGGAAGAGCTCCCATTATGCATGCCCACCCCCATTCATCTTTCCCTGTCTTAGGGAACCTTTAATCTCCATCTACTCCCAGGTTACTTGATACATATTTGCTGTGGAACAGAATGGGGCTTTCTCCATGTCACATGAGGAACAGACACAGGAAGTGGATCTTCTTAACCTGAGTAAACAACCCTGGGGGCCAAAGAGAGAGTGAAGGGAAATAGACACATTGAACCCGAGTGTCTGAAAGGCTGTCATTTGGAGGGGCCAGAAATTATTCTGTGTGACTCTAAATTGCAGATCTATCGCTGAGGAGCACAGTAAAGGAAAATATTAAAGTGCCTTGAAAATTTTCTATAGCTATGATAGAATGGATGAACCCATTGTAGGACATTTGGCAACCTTAGTTCTGTCTACTAAATGCTAGTTGTGCCCATCACCGTCACTGTCATAACCAAAAATGCCCTCACTATAAACTACATCATTTTTAGATTGTACCTCATAATTTGTCACTTAAATATATGCTGTCTTATATGCTTTTATATAAAAAAAGAATGGATGAATCCAGAAAGATGATGATTCTAGCCCTCTCCTTCACAACTCAGCTGCTCAAATATCTCATTTGCCTTATAACTCTCCATGACAACACACATCCCACACATTTCCCATTACTCAGAAAAAAATAAGCAGAGTCTCCTTTGTGACCTGTGGCCTAGACACCCCTGGGGAGCAGCATCTCACTAAGGCATCCAGCCAGTGGTTTAAAGGTAACATAGTTGCAAAGTTTCCTGGACTCCTGCAGGATATGGAGAGGCAGAAAAGGCTCAGACAACATGCAGGGTGAGTAACTTGGGGCCCAAACACAATCCCGTCTGCCCTATTTAGAAGGATGGGGGCCTGGTTAGTGAGTCTGACATCCCTTCTCTGTCAGCTGCTGCGAGGTGAAGGAGCCAATGGGATGGGGGATGAGCAGATGGCAGAAGCAGGGAGAAAAGTAAGGAGACCTGGACATCCATGGATGGCAGTCTATGGCCCTAAATAAGGGGTAGGAAGTGAAAGAGGCTACTTTCCTGAAGCACAGATTTTCCAAATCATATAATTACTCAGAAACCCAGACTCTGTGTCCAAGCAAATTACTACCCTTTTGTTTCTCTAATTGGGGTCATAATAAGAGGGTATCATAAGACCCTATCCCAGATAGCATCCTGCTAGTGACTTGAATGCTTGGTGTCTCAACTCTCACTATATTGTTCTTTACAATCTTCCAATTAAGAAGAGGCTCTTAGAAAAGCATTTGGTCTATATGTATATTAAAAATGATTACCACCATAGCATTAGATAACACCTCCATCACATCATATATCTTACATTTCCTTTTTGTGGGGGAAAAAGAGAGAAAAGAAAAGTACTTGGCTTTAGGGTAAAGAAAGCTGGTGGATTCAGCCTTTTGTTTCTAGGTAACTTGACTTTCCCAGATATACCCAGTCAAGTTAACAGAATCCTAGATTGCTAAAATGGAAGTGATTTCATTCCTGGGGGAAGAGCTAGAATTTTTAAATATTTTTGACCCTTTAGTGTCCTAGAGATAATAATAGAAGACCAAACCTAATCTGATTTCCAAGTTTAAGTGATTGCTTTTGGACTTTATGGGAATCAAAAAACATGGCAATCCAACTGTGCTACTAAGACGGGCATTTTAGTAAAAAACACACACAAAACAAAATGTCCTTTCACCACACAGAATTTTTCCGTGTCAGACCCCTCATAACGCTGTAATAGTCACAAAACATAAAAAGGAAAAAGCCATCATCTGGATACAAGGGAGAAATTAGCTTGATCATATAAGAGTTGTCCCTAATTTTTGGCAACTTGTCTTAAATGGTACCCTATAATTTTACCCTTGTGAACTCTGAGGTTCTTGTAACATTCCTCTGAATTTAGCAGTTGGATCCTTCCACCACAGCCAAGCGCAATAGACCACACAGATATCCAGAGGTGCGTCAGACCAGCATATCAACTAGGGAACAAAGACAAGTTCTAACATAAAGGATTGAGGACTTGTGAATTACTCAATAATAGATAAATCAATACAAGATAAAGGAAAAAGAATTGTGACATTCATCCCAGGTAAAATTAACCCTTAGGTTTCTGCAAGTTATATAGAGAGGGCAGAATTCACCCTCTATTCTGATTTAAACTACCAATGATGAGGAGTATTTCCTGAACTGATCCTATGACAACCCAAATAAGATTAGATGAAAGTAAATATCAATTGTATTAATCTAAAGGAGCCCCTGATCTTTATTATATACAGACGATACCGTATAAATTGTGAACAAACACATGCACCTAGAAGATGCTGAATTAAGGGTTGGAGTGGAAGGGAACTAGATTAAAAATTAAGTAGCTTTCATTCAATTACTCATTTCCTTGTTCATTCATTAATAGTACCTGAAAAAAAAAGAGAACAGAAATTTTCAAAATCAGATGAGATCGAATGAGGTTTCTGAAGAAATGTGATTTGGATTACTAAAATAGAAATGAAGAGATAACCAGCACAATGGTTGGCTCTGTAAGAAGAGCTCAAAGGCTCGCTATGAGGGGTAAACATATTTTTGGAGAAATAGGAAGGGGTTTTATTTGCAGGGCCCCAAGTCATGTCACCACAGAAAATCAGAAGAGAACAAGCTCATTCAGATAATCTGATCCAACCAGCTCCACACTTCACAAATCAGCAGCATCTAGTACTGCCCATGGCCAATATAGGAGGTGTAAGACTGTTCAAAGTGTTTAAGCCAAATAGACCTGAATTTGAATTTTGAATTTTCAAACAAACAAAAAAAGTGAGAAGTCTAATATCTGGAAGAGATATTCATTGACAGATAAATTAGTAAATTTATTTGTCCAGCATCAAACATTAAAATTAGAACAGACCCCACAGAACACTACAGTTACCTAAATGTATGCCTTCGATTCGTGTTTTCAGTTGGTGTCTATAGAAATTCTAACTTTGGGTCCTTGGCCCTGCAGCTGTGGCCCTCCCAGCTAAAGCAGATGTCAGTGCTGAGTGATTTACAGGAAGGTACATTCAAGAGCAAATCAAGGCCTCAAAATGGGTGTGCTAAGGGGCTGAACAAAGTGTTTGGCTGGTATTCTAAAGGTTGTGGAGAATGCTGAATGAATGGAGTGAGGGGATGATTCTTAAAAAGCAATGGGCCCCCCGGATTACACTGGCATCCAGTAACCCTGGCTGATATTTTCTGGGCAAGGCATGTTTAGGCCCCATATTTTTTTAATTTTTATTTATTGATTTTCGAGAGAAAGAGGAGAAAAGAGAGGGGCAGAAAGAGAGAAACATTGATTTGTTGTTCCACTTATTTATGCATTCACTGATTGCTTCTTGTGTGTGCTCTGACCTGGGATGAAACTCAAAACCTTGGCATATTGGGATGATGCTCTAACCAACTGAGCTACCCAGCTAGGGCTGGACCCCATATATTTAAGTGTCCTCAGTGACTGGGTGAGAATCAGCAGTCTCTTCATTTACCAAAACTTTCCCAGTACTTATTTTCATTTTCAGCCTGGGACTTTATCATTACTGGGACTTGATTAAAAGAGGATGTCCTAGGATTTGTACTCAACACCCTCAAACACAAAAAGATATGAAGTTCTGATAACTGGTCCAGAGGATTGTTGCTTACTTCCTGTGGTGAGCTGAAGAATTTCTCTCCTTTCACATTAGCTAAAATATTTCCCTTCTCTGTCAGCAAGGTAATTGTGAGACAACAATGAGATAATTAACTTGAAAGCACTATTAGAAATACTGCAAAATTCAGTATCAATGGAATAACAATAACAACCAAGACAAAGACTATGACGATGATGATGATGATGATGATGATAATGATGGTGATGATGATTATTTAGAGAGTGCTTTACATATTAAAGTGTATTAGCAAACATCACTTAATTTAATGAAGACTGCATGGTAAGGTGAAAACAGTATAGAACTTATAGAACTTACAAACTAAATCCATTTCGGTTATATATTTCCTGATAATCATGAAGAAGTTCAGCTATCCCCTACATACTGCATTTGTTTTGAGGACATATTGCTAATGTATGCACATTCCTAGAACTATTAATAATACCAAGTAAGAACTGAGAAATGGGAAAAAATTAATTTAAAAGCCTATATAGCATAAGTAAATGTTTTCCTGATGACAGGTGTCCTGCCAGTGTCTTTTGTCTGCCCAGACTGAAGAGGTCACATCTTCCTGGAGACCTCTTCTGCCTTCCAAGGATGCTCCCTTCCCGGTCCTATGTCAACATCTCCTTCTTCCAGCCAGCTTCTTTCCTGATGATTGGCATCCCAGGACTGGAGGCCGCTCATGGCTGGATCTCCATTCCCTTCTCCTGCATGTACACTGCGGCCCTCACCGGAAACTGCCTCATCCTCCTGGCTGTGAGGAGAACTCCCCGCCTGCACCAGCCCATGTACTACTTCCTGTCCATGCTGGCCCTCACCGACGTGGGCCTCACCCTGTCCACCATGCCCACCACCCTGGCTGTGCTCTGGTTTGACCACCGTCTCATTGCCTTCAATGCCTGCCTGGTCCAGATGTTCTTCCTCCACTCCTTCTCCGTGGTGGAGTCCTCGGTGCTCCTGGCCATGTCATTTGACCGCTTCGTGGCCATCTCCAACCCCCTGCGCTATGTAGCTGTCCTCACAAATAATGTCATCCTTAGGATTGGACTGGCCATTGTGGCTAGAGCCACTGTGTCCCTCTTCCCAGTGCCCTTCCTACTGAAACGACTGAACTTTTGCCCTGGAAAGATGCTCCTGTCCCATTCATTCTGTTTCCATGCAGATGTCATGAAAAGGGCCTGTGCTGACATTACTGTCAACATCCTTTATGGGCTGTATGTCGTTCTGTCCACGGTGGGCGTAGACTCCTTGCTCATTGTCCTGTCTTATACCCTTATTCTTCATACGGTGATCGGTCTGGCCTCTCCCAAGGAGCGCACCCGGGCCCTCAACACTTGTGTTTCTCATATCTTAGCTGTTCTGGTTTTCTACATCCCAGTCATAGGTGTATCCATGATCCACCGTTTTGGAAGGCACCTGCCTCACATTGTACATGTTCTCATTGCCTATGTGTACCTGGTGGTGCCCCCTGTCCTTAACCCCATCATCTACAGTGTGAAATCCAAGCCCATCAGGGAGGCCATGCTCAGAGTGCTGAAGGGGAAGGGCCAAGGCGGATGAAACCAAGAAACAACCACAGAGTCTGAGGGAAAACAGGGCCAAACAGTCATATCTTATGTCCAGAAAGCCCTTGTTTAGACCCTTGACCTAGACACATATTCAAGAGTATGAAAGGCAAATGGAAACCCTCAGACTGACGGGTGAAAAGCAGTCTTGATTACTCTCCACACTCATTAATTTCAGCTGTTTTATTCAGCATTTACTTGTGGAAGAATCTGTGCTCACTACTAGAGATATGACAATGAACCATGCATGGTCCCTTCCCGCCTTTGGAGGACAGAGGCTTGCTAAATACACGGTTATAACTAAGTGTAATGAGGCTGCGATAGGTGCACACTAACTGTTATAAAAACCTCAAAGAGGGCTTACTGTCTTGTCAAGAGGGAATTAGAAAGGAGTCAGGTAAGAAGGGGCTGAGAGGTGAAGGGGAGTTAGGCAGAAAAGGTGGGCAAGGGGAAAACATACCTAATAAAGGAAAACAATGTTTAAAAAAAACAACAGGTGTGGAATTATTTGGTTTGCNCAGCTGTCCTCACAAATAATGTCATTGTCAGGATTGGACTGGCTGTTGTGGCCCGTGCTGTGCTCTCTCTCTTCCCAGTGCCCTTCCTGCTTAAACGTTTGAACTTCTGCCCTAACAAGATCCTCTTGTCCCACTCATTCTGCTTCCATCCTGATGTAATGAGAAGAGCCTGTGCTGATATCACCGTAAACATCCTCTATGGGCTCTATGTGGTCGTGTCCACTGGGGGCATAGACTCTGCGCTCATCATCCTGTCCTACACGCTCATCCTGCACACCGTCCTGGGGCTGGCCTCTCCCCGGGAGCGCATCCGGGCCCTCAACACCTGTGTCTCACACATCCTGGCCGTCTTTGTCTTCTTCATCCCAGCCATTACCATGTCCATGATCCATCGTTTTGGAAGGCACCTGCACCCCATTGTGCATGCCCTGGTTGCCTATGTGTACCTGGTGGTGCCCCCAGTGCTCAACCCCATCATCTACAGTGTGAAATCCAAGCCCATCAGGGAGGCCATGCTCAGAGTGCTGAGGGGGAAGGGCCAAGGCTGATGAAACTATGAAATATAACAGGGTCTGGGTACCATAAGAGAGACTTGCTATAGCCTCACAGAAACCTGTTACCCTCTGCAAGCTCTGAAAATACCTAGTCTATGCTAATACAGTGGGAAGACCACCAGGCTTATTCCTGTTACATATTCCCCATTTGCTTTGTACTGGAAGCAGTGCTGAGGATTAAAGGCTGAGAAATATACAAAACATGATCTTTTAAAGAAACTCACAATTTTGTGCCAGGATAAAGGCATGTATATATACAACTAGAATATAGACTTGTAAGTACCATAATAAAGTTCTTTGAAATAAATTACTAGAGACTGCAAATTGAAAGATTGGACAAACCTTTACAAGGAAGAGAATGCTTTTTATTTCATCTTAACCCAAAAAAAGTAGGGTGTGTTTTTTCTAGGCAACATGGGAATTGAGGAAAAAAAAGAAAAATCTAGATAAAAAAAGCAACATAGAAAAAGGGCTACATATTTTGAAGAAATAAATGTGTTTGTGGAAAGATGAGCATTTCTGCACTTTTTTACATCTCCACCACTTATTATGTCTTTGCAGCATGGAGTTTAAAAAGGGAGTGGTAGGGGATGACGTCAGAAAGGTAGTTTGTATCTAATACATACAAATAATTTATTAAATATTTTTACTATAAAATAAGTTAGGAGTGTGAATTGCAAATTACAAGTGTGTTGGATGTATGAGCAAGACTAGTACTTAAAACACTATTAGTTTTTATCTGGTCTCAGTGTCTTCCCAGACACTATTTACTCTGCCTGCAACATTCTCATTGCCCCACTTGTCTATATCACATTTCTAGCTACCCTTCTCATTTGTCAAATATAAGCCTAATTTCTCAGAAAATCCTGTCTAATTAATTCCCTTTTCCATTTAATCCACTGGAACTTGCTTGTCTCCTGCACATAAGTAATAGTCTGCCACTCAACTATACTGTAACTCTGAGGGTGCCAAATAGACTTGGTGTCTAGTGGTGTTTGTAGAACAATAGCAGCTCCATAGTGCTTTTGAATGTAGAAATAAATTTGAATGGGGAAAGGGGCAATGGATTAATTCATTTAAGAGATAATCTGAAGATTTTGCCTCCAGACAGCCTCTGGTCTTTCAGGAAAAAAAAAAAAAAAAAAAAAAAAAAACT